AAACTTTTATTTTAAGATAATTATATGATGATTGGCTTCATTTTAGAATAGAGTTTCAAGATCAAGTGGAAATGTTCCTGAAACAGTAACTACATATATAAATATAAAATTTTCTGAATGTTTCTTCCAAGGTTAAAAAATAGATTTGAGTAATTGTTTAATAGCATTTTCAAAAATACAAAAAGATAAAATATAAAAAAGTACCATACTTAACATTCAATCCTGTATACAAATTTAAAAACCACTGAGGTGTCTTTTGCTCCCTTTAAATGTAACACACTTTGCCTGAAATTCCACTTTATAGAAATTAAGTTGGCTTCCTATTGTGGAAGTGAGTAAAGTGCTAGTCACTGACGCTTTAGTTTGATTAGCATCATGTTATTGTTTTCCTCTTAAGAATTTCATAAGATATATCTAATATGACTAAGCGGAGGTTTTGATGAAGCGAGGAAAATAAATGACAATATTGTACCATTCTTCTGTGGCTTAGATGTGCCTACATAGGATGCTGCACTTTGGGCTTCTTGGTAACAAAATGGAAGCACCAGACAAATACAGGAGTTAACACCAGAATGTAAGCAAATAAGCAAGACAAAAAAAAAAGAAAGATGGATACATAGTAAATATTAAGATTTACCTCCTACTTGCAACACTGCCTAAGAATTGCTTTGCCTGTCCAGCAATGTTTATCTCTGATATTACCTCTTACCCTTGAGCACTCTCAAAAAATTTCTGCCTATGACACTATTTTTTAAAATGAGTATGTTCGTGTTTTCCAAATGAAGGTCCCCAAAACACTGTTCTTAGTAAAAGAAATGACCACTCCCAGCCAGTCATTTATGGGGTTCTTAGTTCCAGCTCTCATGAAGTACACCTTAATCACCTTGTATGCAGTTATCATGATCCATAAAGGTTAAAAAATATAAGAAAGACAGAGGAAGTAGGGAAAGTAAATGTATGTTTTCCACAAATCAAGTTAAAAAAATCACACAAAAATAGAAAATTTATTTTTATTTAAAAATAAAAGGGAAAATGTCTTGTGTAGCTCAGAAGAATGTTAAATAGTAAATAAATTTGATCTGGGGGAGACCCAAAATAGATGAATGAGAAATCTGTTTATTATTGGTGACAGAGACATGTGAGGTCTGCAACTGTTTAGAGCCCAGCTGAATCATGTTTTTGGTGAGATCTAAGAGAGAACAGTTTGTACTTTTGGACTATATTGTCAGGTACAACATCAAAAATATATTTCTAAGGTAAGCAGGTCTCTTTCTATACTTTGAAAGTATGTAGGGCACAACTCTAACAGTGATTTTTTAAAAAAGATTTTTTGATGTTGGATTTCATTTATTATATTTTCACTAAGTTTCTCTTTTTAATGTTATTCCTTCATTTCAGAAACTTGTATTTCCCCGTTGTTTCTTCACATCATTTCCTGGTCTTGAATTAACAGAGAACTTTATGTTAGGAAAAAGAATCAAAAGCTCTTCACAATAGCAATTCATCACCCAGAAAAGATGGAGAAAATTTCAATTTAAACAAGCTTTTTAAAATATACAACAAACAAAAAATGAACTAAAATAACAATTTATTACACATTTCAAAGCAGAGAAATAATAAAACTCATGAGGTAATGCAAACTAATTGTTAAAAGCAATTTTAAAGTAGAGTTAATCATCATCCTTTCTCACTACCTCAGGAAGACAATGTTAAATAATAATACAACCAGAAACTCAGGTTTCCTTTTGGTAGTCATCATTTTAACTGCAAAACATTCGTATTTCCATTTACTGTTTAAAATTAGCAAAACCCAACTTTTAAAAAAATTCTGGATTATTCTGGGAAAACACAGTCCAACATGTATGACCAAAGATCCTGAGAAAAATGATCTGGGAAAGGAAGAAGCTTAACATTTAAAAATTACTTGGCATAAACATTGGATTTGGGGATAAGCTAAGAATTTTTTTGACAGTTCAAAGTACACCAATTTCAGAGTTGGTTAATGCCAACAATAATTATATAGGCCAACTAGAAATTACCATCTCCTTTTTTCTCAGAGGCCTTTTTTCTTTGGTGGAAATAAAAATAAAAATCACCCTCTGTTAACTTTGAGATCCTTTGGGAAAGAATGTCCTAGCCTCTCCTTAAAAGTCTAACCACCTTCTACTGTAAAGGGAAAACAAAGCTTGCTTCTTTCTGTTGGCAAACTCTAATCAGCTTGTATGGGAGGGAAATTAACATATACTGTACCTAGAGAGAGAATGGTATAGGGCTTTACCAGCATGCTTTTTTGAGATAAGATGAACTGTGGAAAGCACTTTCAAATACAATGTATAAGGTGTAACGGAAAGGCTAAACTAAAGAGAGGACGTTTTCTGTGAGCTTGGTAGGGCTTGCAGCCTGAACAGTTAAATATTACTGAACACTGAACAGTTAAAAATTACTACTCCCTACATTAAGAGAACGTTGATTTCATCTTATGCAAGACACACACACACACACACACACACACACCCCACACACACCCACACACACACACACACCTCTTTTACTTAGAAGCACTCAGGAAGGTATTTGAACTTTGCCCTGTTCCCAAGTCCGGTCTTCAGTTGGTTAAGTGTGTCCCTCCTCACCTCAGTCTGGGCACTAGGGAAAAAAAGAGAAAAAAAAAAAAGAAAGAAAGAAAATGAAGACGAAAAGTTATTTAGTCCAACAATGCAAGGTCTCCGGATTTCTCATTCAACATTGCTCTATACTTTGAGTCCCCAGGGGGAACTGCAAACCTTTATCTCCTGTTTCTTAGCGGTTCCTATCAGCTCAGCAGGGAAGAGTGGCAAGTGGGACAATCCTAAAGGAAAAAGGAGTCACCCCCGCGTCCTAAAGTATTTGGAAGTGCTCGCTCGCATCTGCTTGTGGTCGGTGCTGGTGCGACTCCGCCGCCGCCCGTCAGTGAAGTCCCAGAAGCGGACAAGTTTAAAGAGAAACGAAGATGGGAGCACTCTCTCTCCTTGTTTCTCGGGGAGTCCCTGGACTTAGTTCGCCGCTGGTTCTTGCCTTGGACTTTTCGGAAACCCCACTTTTTCACTTCGGGGGACATAAAGGCACAGGGGAAACGTATATAGTTTTAGTGGAGACTCCCCTTGACTGCAGTGGTCTCCGCTGATGTATTTATCCGCTGATGTATTTATCCGCTGATGTATTTGTCCGCGGTATCCCTTTGGTTTATTTTTTTTTTTTGAGGTACGGCCGCACAGTTCTCCTGCCTCGAGAGTTTGATTCCAGCTCTCGAACTTGGATCGTCCGACGCCGCCCGCGCTGGTCCGAACTCCCCCTGGAGCCTGGACCCGGCGCCGCCAGCGGACCCGGAGGGAGGAGGCGTTTCAGGGCTTGCAGCCCCAGAGCCGCGCTCCTTCTGAACAAAGCAGCCGGAAGAGTTGCGCGGACTCTTAAACCCCAGGTTGGACCTGGAGCCCTGGAGGAGTAGAGGAGGAGCAGAGGAAGAGGTAGAAGATGCCAGCAGTTACCACTTCTAGCACTCCACCCTTCGGGGTCTTTTCTGAAAGAGGCAGCTGTGTGGGTCCTGCTTACGCGTGGGTGCACGTGTGCGCGCTTGGGAGAGCCCGTGGGTGTGCTCGAGTCTGAGCGCGTCTGTGCACCCGCAGGGCAACGCTGGAGCCTGAGAGAGCTCGATTGGTAGCAAAATTCGAGAGCGTCCTATCCAAGGAGGCCACTGACACGTGGCTTTGTCAAGTAGGCCAGGAAGAGGCCCTTATTAAACAGCTTCCCTTTGCAACTACCAGCTCTCCCACCCTCTCTGGGTTCAAATCGTTTGGAGCCAGCCAAGATCCGAGCTGAGAGGGAGGGGCTTGCTGGAGTGGAAGGCCACGTGCTGGTGAACCTGTTAAAGAGCAGTGTGTTTGTCTGTGTGTGCCTGCGTGGCCGCCCTGTCTCTGATCGCTCCCTGGGTGCAGAAGCGCGGGTTTCCTGGCGCCAGAAGATAGGAGCAGCTGATTAAAGTCGGGATTCCCAGGAGGAAGCCTTTTCTGGACTGGAGAGAGGGAGGGAGTGATAGGGTCGAGGAGAGAAACTGGAATTTGGGGCGAGAGAAGCCGACCCCCACGCCGCGAGGCCTGGATAGCCCTCTCCGCATCCCTCATCTTTCTTGCTTCAGACCCCTTTCCTGTCCCGTAACGTTAGTGGCCTGGTCTGGCTTGTGGTAACTGTTAGGCTTGCTTTCTGCCGCTGACGTAGTAAAATGTGGCCAAATGCAGCACAATAATGTATGATGCTGAGCTGAGTTGATTCTCAAATAGTGTTCTTTTCAGCTTTTTGCTCCCATCTTATTAGTAAGCAAACCACCACCTACCACTAAGGAGACACTGGAAGCCAATGGCAGGTGACTGGGACCCCAAGTGAGCAGCCCTCCGTCTCAGATATTCCCAGCGGGTAATAATAGCTAATGACTTATCCCTTTGCAGCCACAGCCTGACCCGGTGACACTCCTTTATCCCCTAACCGTGGGGCAGCGGGCAGTCGGCAAGTGCCTCTTTCGCAAGAGGCTGGGGACGCCTCTGGAAGTTCGCCTTCATCCTCCAGGTTTTTTTTTGCCTTTTCCCCTCCCCCAGCCTGCAACGCCCCCGCGCCTCGCCTGCCTGGGGATTTGCCGGCGCCTGGCGCCCTTT